CAATCGAAGATCGGAGCCAAAGAGGAATACGATGAAACACCAGATAAGATCGCGATGCCAAAGACGGAATATAACCCAATAAAGATCGCGTCCATGGAGAAGGAGACGACGGGTGAAGCGCGGGAGCGTGCAAAATGGCAGTACTATTATGGCCAGTTGAAGACGCTGCTCAAGACGGACCCAGTGTTCAAGATGTTAAGGCCCAAGGTGATTGGTCCTCTGGATAAGCCGATCTCGGTCCCACTTCACGGGACCAACAAAGTCGACGAGATCAATGTGATTTTGCAGATGTTGGACGACATGGGTATCTGCCCTGACGCTTTTGATGGAGATGAACTGCTGAGTTGCAGCTTGGAACAGTTGAAGGACGCGGCGAACGAGTTTGTAGAGATCATGATAATGCTGGTGGGCAAAGCGAATACTCCTGAAGACAAGATCGGGACGCCCTCGGGCTCGCTCTGTAAACACCCCGCGGGATCGCCCCGCTACGCCTCGGATGACTCCGAGAGCGAGTCAGATGGATCCATCAGCATTCGTCAGATGTCTCTAGGACCATCGGGTGGAAGGTTCTTAAAGGACAAGATCGGACAAGCCAAGATCGACGCCTATAAGGGACAAGCCAAGAGCAACATGCCGCAGAGATCGGCCAGTACCCGCACTGGGCTGGAGGATCAAGAAGAGGGCGATCTAAGTCGGTACTTCAATTCAGCCATGAAGAAGTACGAGGCGGAGCAACGTACAGCTCAGCGAATGAATCGACAGCCAAACCGCTACCCAGATCGACGTACTTTGCTCCAACCTTCACACGAAAGCCTTGACATGCCGGATGTGGAGATGGAGTCGGTGGGGTCGGACATTTACCAACATATCCATGAGGCGGCGGAATACGACCCGGATGATCTATGGATGCCCGAACCACGGCGCCCTCAAGTAGCCGCGACCGGTGCGACTACCGGAGGGGGAAACATCACGCAGAGGATCAGAATCTCAGCGATTTCTGAGCTGAAAGAATTCTCAGGGAAGGATCGGGAAGAAGACAAAGCACGGACCTGGATCGGCAAAGTGAAATCAGCGTTTATCCGGGACCAAGCACCGGACGAGGAGAGATGTCTGGTCTTCGGTGATCTCATGGTGGGCCCAGCCCGCTACTGGTACCGACAGCTGAGTAGATCGACGAGATTCAATTGGAAAGAATTGATGAACAGTTTTCTTGTGGAGTATGCGGGACACGGGATGTCCGCGAGCAGGCAATACTACCATGCAAAGAAACGATCGGAGGAAGATCCTTTACAGTACCTGTATCGGCTTAATGTGATGGGAATGCAGGCGAAGATACCGGTGATGACTGGATTGCCAGCTGCGCGCAAGGAACATGTCAATCATTTCATTGACACCTTGGACGACCCCGATCTGTCCAATCAATTGCTACTGCTGAATGTAGAAGACGCGGAGGCCATGCAAAAGACACTGCACGGATATCAACAAGGGAGATCGCGTCAAGGGAAAGTGATGATGGGATCGTCCAAATTCAGGCAGAAGGGAACTCAGGGTCCAGCGCTGTCTAAGCCTGCACGAGCGGTAAGGATGGTCCGTACCGAGGACGTCTGCAGCGAGTCAGGATCAGACACCTGCGGATCGGATTTGGAAGATCGATTGAGATCGATCCATGTGGCTGCTACTGCGGATCGCCGTTCATCCCCCAATGACGTTGCAGCAAACGCGAGATCGGTCGACCCGAACACTCGTCAAGACTATCAAGACCGCAATATGCCATTGAAGCCGTGTACTCATTGCGGATCGACCAAGCATGGAGATCTCGGTTGCTGGAAGCGGCTCACTTGCCAGAAGTGTGGGCGTAAAGGACACCCCTCTGACAATTGTTTTTTTCGTGTGTCGTGCTTGCGGTGAGATGCACGACCCGGGGAAGTGTCCCATGGAGGAGTTCTACAACATGATCCGTCAGTGGTACGTCCCGAATAAGCATGCGGGGATGCTACCAGAGAAGGCCGAGAAGATGTTAAACTAGGACGCTCGCCAGGTTTGAATCTGGTACGAGCCGAGCGTTCTGGGCTCTGCATTATTGCATACGTGGAAAAAAAAGAAGACAGATCGCGAGAGTAAGCAGGATATTGACGTGGAAACAAATATATCTCGTTCGAAGTTAAAACGTGTCGCTTCCGTGTCCCATCTGAAGCGGATCGATGAGTACTCACGATCTGAACCAGCTATGGAGATCGAGCTCGCTTATGGTGAATCTCGCGGATACTGGAAACATTATTCACCCGGGAAGTGGTTCAAACAAGCGAAAGCCGTTGGCAAGATCAACAACGTAAAAGCTACTCTGTTATTTGATTCTGGTGCTGAAGTGTCGATCATTGACACCACCTTTGCTCGTGAGGTCGGTTGCAATATTGACGAAAGTCAACGACAAGAATGTATCGGGATTGGAGAAACTCCGTACATGACGGTAGGACGTACCAAGATCAAGGTGACCCTCGCGGGATCGCTGGTATACTATTTCAATGTATGGGTAGGCGATCTGGCAGGGCAAGAAGCGATTCTGGGTATGGATTTTATGGTGCCTGCTGGAGTGCGGCTCGATCTAGCGGATGGCGCGCTATGTCTACCAGAAGAAATCCGCATTCATCTCGCAGGACGTCGCCCCGCGTACGGATCGAAGATACAACATATAACGGCGAAGGACCAACACGTGGTGATCCCGGTCGGAGAGTCAAGGGAAGTGAAGATCGGGATCGGAGGGGCTAAGATGAAGTTGTGGGTCGCTAGAGGACTAGATTGGGTCCCCACTGTGATCTCGGGGTGGGGTAAGACGAAATACCTGCAGATGACCAACATTGGCGACCGGGAGATCATACTGCCCACCCACACTATATTAGGCATGTGGGTCGAAGGCGATATGGTACCGCGGACCCAAGGTTTGGTGACAGTCGGGTCGGGGAAGTACAAGGAATGGCAAACTCTGGCATATGAGGCTACAACGGATCGAGTGAACGAACTCCCGAAAGAACAGATCGGACCATTGGTAGACCGTCCTACGTATGCCGCTCCCAAACGCATCTTGAAACGTCCGTCTGATGCGTTACAGAACCTGTCTCCGGCGATCTCCACGGTAACGCCGCAAGCTAACGATGACGATTCGCAAAAGGCAGATGCTGTAGTTGCGAGGGAAGTAACGGTCAGGGGAGCCGAACTATCGCGGATGGAGAACGGTCATGAGATCGGTACCCAACATGCAACGAAGGGAGACCGTGACACCGGTCAAGAAGGGCCACGTGACAGATCGTCTCTACCGAAGGCTGAGCCGACTGACCGACTGTTGAAATTGGGCCAGCCGGATGAGACGAAGGAGCCTAAAGAAGAAATAATGCTAAATACTGAAAACGTCGAGATTGCAGAAATACCAGTTTATCACCACGAGAGCGGAGATTTGTTTGCGGAAGATATCGAGCAGCATATGGCCGTGCTACCAGAGATGTCGGCGACTACGGAAGAAGTTACGATTGAGGACATTCAGATCGGTCATCCCGATGTGCCTCTCACCACAGATCAACAACGGCTCAGATCGCTGATCTGGAAGAGCCGTCACCTCCTCATGGGTAAAGGTAATGCTCTACCACCCGCAGCACGAGGCGCGATCTGTGATATTGATGTCGGTGGGGCAGCACCGATAGCGCAAAGAGTGCGTCCGGTCGCACCCAAATATCGGGAGAAGCTGTCAGATCTCATCAAAGGACTATTAGCAGCCAAAATCGTTCAGCCATCCACGTCACCTTGGGCGTCTCCGATAGTGGTGATCATCAAGAAGAACGGAGTGGATATTCGCCTTTGCATTGATTATCGAAGAGTTAACCAGCTGACGCGTCTGATGGTTTATCCCATGCCGTTGATCAGCGATCTGTTGGAAGATCTGGATAAAGCTCTATGGTACTGTTCGCTAGACATGGCTAGTGGATTTTGGGTCGTCGAAATGACCGAACGAGCAAAACTGATCTCAGCGTTTGTCACACCGTTTGGCTTGTTCGAGTGGCTGCGAATGCCTTTTGGGCTTAAGAACGCGCCCCAGATCTACCAACGTCTGGTGGACAATGCGTTGTATGGATATCTCAAGATCGGCCAGAGATCAGCTTCTGATGGCCCGATCGACGTGTTCAAAGATGGAGAACCTGAGACAGATCGACGACCGTCTATACTGGGACGCCGATCTTACATTGACGATATTCTCATACCAGCCGCGTCATGGGGATCTTTGTACACAAAAGTAGAACGGTTGCTGGAGGCATGTGATAAGTGGAATCTGTCTATCAGCCTCACGAAGAGCTTTTGGGGGTGCCGTAAGGTCGATTATTTGGGACATCGAGTGTCGATGGATGGTCTGGAGGCTCAGCCCAAGAACCTAGAGTCGTTGGTTAACATCCCGTTTCCTAGCACGCTACGAGCTATGCAATCCTTTCTCGGGAGCTTGAACTACTACCGTCGCTTCATTGAGGATTTCGCGGTGTATGCCGCGGTGTTGTATGAGTTAAGAGAATCGGATTTCTTCGAGATCGGCCGATCTCAGCTTGCAGCAGGAGACGAATGCTCCAACGAGGGTCGATGGACGGAAGCCAAGGTTGCTTTCACTATGCTAAAAGCTAAGATAGCTACAGCTCCCATGCTCAAGCATTTCGACCCAGATCGGTCCCCCGTAATCGTGGTCTACGCTAGCAAGTGGGCTGTCTCAGCGGCCCTGATACAGGAGTACGATGGCGTACCATCCGGTGACGTTTACTAGCCGCACTTTAAAGCCTAATGAGCTTAACTACGGAACGGTAGAAAAAGAAGTGCTGGCGCTACTTCGTGTGTTGGATGTATGCTATACTACGCTTGCCTCGCGGGAGATCACTGTACTGACCCGACATTCTACGTTAGCCTGGTTGATGCAGTCTCGAGGGCTCAACGGGAGATTAGGACGGTGGGCTGCTTTGTTGTCAAATTGGACTATGGAGGTGAAGAAATGTGAAAGAGGAGAGGAAGAAATCCTGGGCATGTTAGCAGCGAGTATCACTCCGAGAGGAGAAGTGGAAGAGATGCTGATTGCGATCTCCCCACGAAAAGACTGTCGACTCAAAATATCGATGCCTCCTCCAACGGTGGAAACAGATGAGGAGTTGCTGGTAGCCAGTTTCGATGGATCGGCTAGGATAAAAAAGAAAGGAGGGTCGTTCAGTGCCGTGATATGGAAATTACCCGACTGGACGATCGTGGCGGCCGAATCGAGATATGTTCACGATCTGACTGTGAATGAAGCTGAGTATAATGGCTTGCTACTGTGCTTTGAGTTACTCGCCGATCTGGATAGGGGGCGAGTAATACTGTGTGGAGATTCCAGTCTGGTGATTCGACAGATGCGCGGTGAGATCGACTGCAAGGCACCGGGCCTTCAGCTTCTGAGACACAAAGCGTTGGAGAAGCTGCAGTCATGGCCTAGTCACGAGTTTCTGCATATGAAGCGAGAGTGGAATCAGAGCGCAGATCGACTAGCCAGCACAGCATTGCAGAGCGAAAAGGGAAGAACGGTTGTAGCTGAAGAGGATCGGCAAGATCTGATGACTCTGAACCGTCTCGATGAATTGTTGAAGCCCAAGCAAGATGGTCAGCTAGCTCGGGTAACTGCGATCGCGAGATCAGCCAGGAGGATACGTCATGAACCTGAAGTGATACAGGAGGAGATAGTACAGAGGATCAGGATTCAACGAATTGTCCAAGCTCAAGATGAAGAGCGTTGGATTGTCAATCTCAAGACATATCTAAGTGGCGATGTATCAAACTTGGATGCGGTAGAAGTGAAGACGTGCGCCAAACTGGCGCCGGATTACGAGATCGATGAGAACAATCTGCTATTTTTTTTTGCCCCATGGCGAAAAGAGAGTCGGAAGATCGCGATGGTTTGATGCGGTTGGTGATCCCTGAGACGTTGCAGCAGGATTTTTGCATCACTATCACACGAGTCTGGAAGGAGGCCATCAGGGTATTGGCCGAACCTATCAGAGGATCAGATCACGATTTCATTGGAGAGGACTGTATCGGAGCGTTCAACGATATGCGGGCGAATGTACCGACTGTGAGACCGGGAAAGGAAACCCGATGATTAATGGGAAATCCCCGGGCAATCTACACGCAACCTATCCATTCCAGATCATCGCCATGGATCATATACCGTCGTTGCCCAAGTCCATCAAGGGGAACACCGAACTGCTCATTTGGGTCGACCTTTTCTCGGGATATGTGATTGCAAAGGCTAGCTCCTCTCGGACGGCACAAACAATAGCGGAGAATTACGAAGAATGTGTGTTTCGACGCTTCGGAGCTAGCGAGGCTATCAGGCACGATCGAGAACCGGGATTTATGTCCGACTTCTTTCGAGCCTTCAGTCGGATCGTAGGACAAAAACAGCGTGCTACTATGGCTTACAGGCCACAAGCAAATGGAACAGCCGAACGAATGGTGCAAACCCTGACACATTCGCTCAAGATGTACGTGGCTGAAGTTGACCAGCGAGACTGGGATGAGTATGCTGAGCGGCTCACCTTTGCCATTAACACTGCACAAGATCGGATCCGGGGGATACCCCATTTTATCTGATTCATGGGTGGGACCCGCGATCGACTTTGGAGGCTACGCTACCAGTGGGGGAATACGGGGACACGAGATCGCGATCCAAAGAGGTGGAGATACAAAATCCAAAGACAATACCAGCGAGCCCGATCTGCAGTGAACGATCGTTTACAAGCCGCGATCCAGGAGCGAGCGGATCGACACAACGAAGATCTGGAACCACACGAGATCGAAGTAGGAGCGCAAGTTTGGCTATACCTGGACCGAGTTAAAGAGGGATATGCGAAGAAGCTAGCGCACATGTGGCATGGGCCATTCCGAGTTGCGGACGTATGTGGAGATCATGCTGTAAAATTGGAGATCGCTGGAACCCCATATCGGTTATTTCCGATTGTACACATATCGAAGCTAAAAAGGTAAAGACGTTCCCTGAACGCCCGAAGGATCAGCTTACGATAGAGGAATCAGATCGCTTGGATTTCGATGAAGCTCTGCTGCCGGAAGACAGTTGGGATGGCGATCTTGAAGAAGGGGAATACGAAGTGGAGGCAATATTGGACGTGCGATCTGGTAGAAAAACCCGTTATGGGCGAGTACACCGGCAGTTTCTGGTGAAGTGGAAGGGATATCCCGATCTAAGTTGGGTGGACGAGGCCGATCTACGTTGTGGGGCGATCTTGCAAGAGTTTGAGCGGAACCGAGTGAGTCGAAACCGTTTCGACGTAATGCAGTCTCATGAAGGCAAGTCGGACGAACCTTAACAGTTCGAACAAGTATGCGGGAGGTAGCATATGCGGATGTAGGGGTTGAAAGATGTGCTAGACGGTAGCACATGCTGGTGGATGAGGTTTTGTATGTGAGTATGGAGATAGTCAAGTGAATTACCTTCCTGAATGATGTGGAGCGAGGAGGATCGAGATCGTGGAAGTTGCAAAGAATGGAAGTACCAAAAAAAGAAGATGATTGAATGACTTACACGATTATGAAAGACGATCGGGCTTGGATATCGATCTTGGACTAAGACGATGGAGCAGGTTTGAACTTGTCCTGCAGACGAGGGATCTGCGATCCGGGATGATCCCAATAGGCGTTACGGAACTGGTTGCGCCAAGGATCCTCTTGGTCTGCCATGTCCAACGCCTCTAGCAAGTCAGCTGGGTCGTTAGAGTGTCCTAACCCTGGATACCAAACTCGGTCTTCATGTGGGCGCGGATAGTGGAGGAAGAAGGGATCTAGCAAGATGTCGATATCACAGTGGCCAGCGATCATGCCGCTGAGTATCATCTTCAAGAAGTTCTTCCAACGCGCTCCAAAGCGAGAACGGCGTTGTTTTCGTTGGCGCCAGAATGTCTGCATGAACCGTTCAGATCGCCTTTGAGCCGGAGGAATCGGGAAAGCATGAGTAGATTCCCACAGAGCTTGTCGATGAGTGGACTCAAGCTCCAGGTACCGATGACCCATATCACGATACCATCCAGTCATGGTGAATGATATCGGGTTCACTGGGACTATGATATTATCCCAAGGGGCTAAAGCGTAAAGAGCCTCGATGTGTTGCCGCGAGATCAGCCCAGAAGCCCAAGTCCCCGTAGGCGGGGTTCGTCCATGATTGTAGAAGGGAAACAGAAAATTCCTGGGTTTGGAGTAGTGGTGAAACAACAGCTCAATGGTCATGGTCCTCACGCAAACCATCGCGATCCGCGAAACGGACCATGGAGCGATCTCGGAAGCTACCCGTCGGGAGGGCGCCAGATAGTTGGGAATCCACCGATCCCGTGGTTGCTGGAGTGGCGGAAGATTGTCGAAGTCCACGGAAGAGAAAACTCTGTTAGCCACTTGGCGTGCCGGAAGGGTGATGCTGTTTTCGCTATCGGACGAATGGCGATCCGAAAGTGCAGTGGACTCCGGAGGCGGACTAACAGAGCCAGTCTCGCTGTGTGTCTCCCCTGTCGGCGATACCTCCACGTCTTCTACGCCGCCATCATCTTGAATTTCGACTACGGGGACAGCCGCGACCGGAGTGGATGGGTACGAAAGATAACGAGGCTCCGGAACGTCTGGAGAAGGCGAACGCAACAGTGCTTGAGCCAACGCAGTAGCTGCGGGAGAAGCGGGAACAACCCCGAGCGGCCGGAGAGGGGTTCGGGGTCGAAGATCGGGCATCCGATCTAGGTTGACGACGAGAGGCCGATCTCGATTGGGATAATGCAGCACGAGTCAAATCATCCGAGCTAGAATCCGACTCGGTCAGCTCCTCACTTCCCGATCCAGTCCCAGAAGCCGCGGACGAAAGCGGAGAACAAGAAGAATTGGGTGGAGGCTCGGGTGGGGCCAATCCGGGAAGTTTGTTTAAAGGTATTGAAGGGTTCAACGACAATAGCCGGGAAGCCACACGGGCGGTGGAAGAATCACTGGATTGTGACCTTGGTTGAATACGCCGACGCTTGGCAGGCGGGCCGGACGATCTCGATCTGGACCTACGGGCAAGCGATCTCGATCCCGGGGTAGTGGGAGCAGGGGGCGATCCGGCCGGAGTAGCACTCTTAGGCGTCGATCGAGCGGTCAACGCAGACGACCGGGATCCGAGTATAGCACTGTTCAGTGTGTCGAGGAGAGCACGGTGTTCAGCTATAGCCTGATCCCGATCATGCTCCACCACCTGCAACTGGTCGTATATCTCGAGGTGTTCCGCAAGCTGACGACGTAGGTTGGCGTTCTCCGCCTGCGAAAGTGCCAACTGACCCTCTAGGGGAGTCAAACCATCCACTTGTTGCATGAGATCGCTGATCGAAGACAGTCCATCTGCGATCTCCTCCTGAGACTGAGCCAATTGCTCCTTCAAGTGCAAAAAATCTATGTGAAGGAAGGATATGTCCATGGTCAGCTGATCACGCTGCTGTCGGAGAGAGTTGAGTTCGGCTTGGAGCGAATGAAGCTGAGCCCTCAAAGCATCCACCTGTCGTTCCAAGTTCCCCTGAGCCTCGTCGTTGGCACATATCAAAGTGCGTAGCCGACGAATCTCCTCCGATTGATCTCGATATGTCCGCAGAGCTCGATGGCAATCACTCAAAGAATGCACTGCGTCGACGTAGCGGCCCTGCATCCAGTCATATCGAAGCTGGACGAAGGAGACAAAAGGAGCGGCTGATCTGTATAGCGAATCAAGCTCGTCTTGTAAGCGATCCCCCGGACGACGGCATCTCGGTAGGATTGCTGGAGCGCATGAATGGTGTCGGCTTGGCTGCAGAAGGTAGCCTCTCGATCCCACAAATACGAGATCGTGGCCATCGTGAGACGAACGTCGTCGGCAGAGACTCTGGGAACGAAGCCGGTGACGCCCACAGCTGGAGCAGACCTTTCACGAGATTCATTAGCGGCCGGGATGTCGGATCTGGACGCATCTGGGGCCGCCGGAGGAGTGGGAAGCGGGAATGGCTCGGAGGAACGATCTGATAATTCCGCGGCGGTCGAGAGTGATCCGACCGATCTGGGATTACTGAGAGACTCATGTTGATCTGGGACGATAGGAGCATACCACCCGCGATCTGGCGATCTAGATGGCGAGTCTCGGGATGGAGACGAGGGTCTGGTCGGCTGTCGATCTGGCGATCCTGTGGGGATTGTGGGCGATCCGGTTGGGCCTAGATGGCGCGGAGACCCAGGCCGATCGGGGACCGCTGGGGTGTGTCCTCCGAGATCGGGCGATCCGGGCGACATGTCGCGATCCGGAGACAGAAACATGGTGGGTCCTTCTGATGAGATCAGCGAGGCCAGTGGATGCGTCGGAGAGGCCATGAGACGGACTTGAGTGCTTGGAACGAAGTTGATGAGTGACTGTACTGAGGTCAATTGCTGTACAAAAGACTTCAGTACAGGGGGCGGTTGTGGCAAAGTCACTACTCAAATTTTGTACGAGGATCGGTGGCCACACCTTTAAAGCGCCGCTTACTGGTGGAAAAGGAGGCCATGAGACTCGGCGATCCAATACGGAGGTGGAAGATGATCTTAACGGGATCGGCGAACCGATCCAACTGTCGTTAGACTAATGGGTATGAATCGACCTGGGACGGAGCGATCTGGAACGATTTACATGGAACAATCTGGGACAAGGATCTGAGACCGGGTGATGGGATATGACTCTGCGACGAAGGTGTAACATCTTGCAGAATGTTATGGGGCGATCTGGAACCAGACGTCGGGATGAAGTCATACAGCTCATTGGAATGCCGGTCAAGAAGAAGTATACGTACATTGAAGCAGGCTAAGATTAGATCGCAGATCGACATGTTGTGGCAACGGTTTGTTGGAGAATTGACACATCTGGGACAAGGTGACTCCCCAAAGTGCATCTGGGACCAGGTGGTACGGGTCGGTGAATCGGCAAAGAAGGTGCAACACCATACGGATCGGTGATACTCTACTGATCCTAAATTGGGAGTACTGATTTTGGTTAATTATACACCGATCTGGAAGTTTTTGCATACTCAGAAGAGTCAAGGAAACCGATGTCGAGACGTATGAATGAAGTTGTCGATTGGATAACACTGGAGGATGATATTGAAGCACGTATGAGGAGATGAAAAAGTGTTAATTGCCGATTTAGACCGGATCGACCTCCAACATCTCGATATTGGATGACAGATCGGTCATTTTCCACACTGATCATGAATATATGGTTGATGAAGACACTGGATCATGTGGAATATACTTGGTAGAGGTCACTAAGTGATGTCAAGAAGTTTCACGCCGAAAGAGCCAGTGGAAGCTGTCCGAATTGACGTCGCAAAATGGATTTAGATGCCTTCGGCATTTGGGCACTATTTTGGGCTTTTGGGTACCAAAAATGGGTATTTGGTACCCCATTTGGGATTTGGTCCTCTTTTGGCGTTCAGGTACGGTATCGGGAATATTGGCGCTATCATTGGAGTACAGGGCACGAAATTTAGACACGTGGCAAGGGGGCGATTCAGATTCAAGGCGATATCGGTTTGAAGAGTGACCTATAGTTAAGAATAGGCTTAAGGGTAGGTTGGATAGTAATTTGGTTGGTTAATAAAACAGACTTGAACTCTACTTCTTCTGCTCACGACGCACGTTATCCTCCCCTCTTCTCCAGGCAAGATTGATTTGGCTTCCCCGGCGGGTTAAGGCACGCGTGTTACAGGGACACAGAAGACCGATCTTGGATTGTTGGCCAAGATCGAGAAGAGCGATCCCGGGATATCTGGCCCGGATCGATCAAGTACTCACACTCAACTCAACTGCTAGGGTAGCAGCACACAACGGAAAAGGAAAAGGATTTTGGACACAGGATCGCGAGACGGCTCGAGTGGTCAGAAGATCTGGACAAGGCGTTCAAGACAAGACCGAGCAGGATCGAAGCGATCCCCTGGACAGATCGGCACGTTTCACTTTGGCGAAACAAGACACCGATCTACCCAAATTGCGCACTTCCGGCAAGATCGGCCGATCCCAAGACCAGATCGGACCGATCCCAAGGCAAGATCGACGCAGGACTTTTATTTGCTGAGTGAAGATTTCCGCACAGCAAAGACCCCGATCTCGAAGACAAATCAAGATCGGTGCGATCCAAGATCGGGATCGCAGAACCCCCGTTCGTGGTGTGAAGATTTCCGCACCGGAAGCGAACCCTCAACCCAACCTCTCAGCGAGATCGACATCTCCCAAGGCCGTTACGAAGAGCTCAAGCCAGCCCAACCGACGGGTACACAAGGTGAGCACAAGGTCATACAACAAGGCACGGATCGGAGTACCCCCTCCGTGAGTCGGCAAGTCTGGGCAAGTGGAAGATCGACACTCATACAAGCAATTTTGTGAGATCGACTTCACCACACAAACGCCATTCGATCATATTCATAGTTGTTGTTGCCGTTGTAGCCTTGCCACTGAACTTGATTCGCTCCGCGTCCACGTGCATTGCTGTCGCGTCGAGCTCCCCGATTGTCTTCCTTCTGCTTGGTCCAGCACTTTTCCACCGTGTGCCCCAATTTTCCGCAGAACGTACACTGACGAACCTCACGCTCGGTACTGAAGGCCTTGGTCGCTTCTTCAGTTTTCACCGATGTCGTCTTTTCCCTTGTCTCTTGATGTGCTCATTCGTCAGCACTTTCACGACGTCTTGCGTCCGCAGTTCCGCGCTGCTCATCTCCAAGCTCAGCACGACGTTCTCGTAGCTCTTGGGGAGGCTGCACAACAAGCAGATCGCCACGTCCTCATCCTCCATCTTGGCGCCGATGCTGCTGAGCTTGGCGCTGATGTTGAGAACTTCATTGCAATGATGCATTACATTGCCGCCTTCCGCCATCTCCATGCTGAACAGCTGCCGCTTCAAGAAGATCCGTCCCGCCTTCTGCGATCCGCCGTAGAGAGTCTTCAACCGTGTCCACGCAACCCATGCCTCGTCGCAGTCATCAACCACGTGATGATAGTCCGCGCTCATGTGAAGTAACATCAAGCCGAACGCAATGTTGTTCGTCTTGACGTACTCATCACTGGCGCGAGGATCGGCGAAGGTGGGGGTGGTCTCCCGGTTGACCACGTGCCACGTCGACTTGGTCAGGAACACGCCACGCATGTAGCGGCTCCACGTCGCGTAGTTGTCTCCATCGAATCTATCGATAGAGATCTTGGTGGCGGAATCTTGAGTAGAGGACATCGTGCTTGGGCTCATAACCTGTTAAAGTCTGAAGAGCACTGGACGAGAGAACGAAGCTTGAAAGGCTTGAAAGAAGTCTACACTGCGAAGTGAAGACGACTTGTGTAGGAGAAGGAATATTTGGAAGTGAATTTATTTGTGGGTTTTGTTAAAGCTACCTGATTTATCTCTGCACTGATTTATATGTTATTGTGGGTTGACGGTTGAGGTACTGCTATCAGCTACCATGGGAACCGTAAACCTGTCCAAGTCGATCCCGCGTAATTACGGTGAGTTTTTACCAATGATTAGACGCATAGGATGATTGGATGACCTACATGATTTATGATTCATGATTTATATGTGGACGACATATAAATCAGTGCAGAGATAAATCAGGTAGCTTTAACAAAACCCACAAATAAATTCACTTCCAAATATTCCTTCTCCTACACAAGTCGTCTTCACTTCGCAGTGTAGACTTCTTTCAAGCCTTTCAAGCTTCGTTCTCTCGTCCAGTGCTCTTCAGACTTTAACAGGTTATGAGCCCAAGCACGATGTCCTCTACTCAAGATTCCGCCACCAAGATCTCTATCGATAGATTCGATGGAGACAACTACGCGACGTGGAGCCGCTACATGCGTGGCGTGTTCCTGACCAAGTCGACGTGGCACGTGGTCAACCGGGAGACCACCCCCACCTTCGCCGATCCTCGCGCCAGTGATGAGTACGTCAAGACGAACAACATTGCGTTCGGCTTGATGTTACTTCACATGAGCGCGGACTATCATCACGTGGTTGATGACTGCGACGAGGCATGGGTTGCGTGGACACGGTTGAAGACTCTCTACGGCGGATCGCAGAAGGCGGGACGGATCTTCTTGAAGCGGCAGCTGTTCAGCATGGAGATGGCGGAAGGCGGCAATGTAATGCATCATTGCAATGAAGTTCTCAACATCAGCGCCAAGCTCAGCAGCATCGGCGCCAAGATGGAGGATGAGGACGTGGCGATCTGCTTGTTGTGCAGCCTCCCCAAGAGCTACGAGAACGTCGTGCTGAACTTGGAGATGAGCAGCGCGGAACTGCGGACGCAAGACGTCGTGAAAGTGCTGACGAATGAGCACATCAAAAGACAAGGGAAAAAGTCGACATCGGTGAAAACTGAAGAAGCGACCAAGGCCTTCAGTACCGAGCGTGAGGTTCGTCAGTGTACGTTCTGCGGAAAATTGGGGCACACGGTGGAACAGTGCTGGACCAAGCAGAAGGAAGACAATCGGGGAGCTCGACGCGGCGGCAATGCACGTGGACGCGGAGCGAATCAAGTTCAGTGGCAAGGCTACAACGGCAACAGCAACAGCAACTGTGACTATGATCGAGTGGCGTTTGCTGTTTCGCTGGAATGCGGACTTTCAACGACCAAGAGCATGTGTGGAATGTGGGCGATTGATAGCGGTGCAACACATCACATCTGCTATGACAAGTCCAAGTTCGAATTTCTGGACGAGCGCAATGAAGGCGAAGTGTTGGTTGCAGATGGGAACAAGGCTGCGATCAACGGTGTCGGGACAATCATCGAAAAGGTGACCCTGTCCAACGGTGAAGAGCGCGAAGTCGAGATCAAGAACGCGCTTTACGTCCCAAGCATGAACAAGAACTTGCTTTCGATACCACAAATCAACAAAAGCGGCAAGTTTCAAGTGGTGTTTGATGGTGACGAGATGAAGATTTCGCACAAAGGCTCCAAGCAAGTAATATCGATGGCCGATCTTGTGGATGGCCTCTACTGGCTTCGTACATCCCAACGATCGGTGAATGCGGCTTCAGGACCAAGAGTCGAAAACCTTCATGCGCGTATGGGCCACGCACCGGTTGATGTCTTGTGCAGAATGGTCTCCAAGGGCATGATCAAGGATGCCAAGATGCCAACAAAATTGAGCGGACCAAGCGTGTGTCAAGGTTGTCTAGAAGGAAAAATGGTTCAACGACCGTTCCCGAGCAATCCAAACAAGCGCCACTACGATCCGTTTGAGCTTCTACACATCGACACTTGTGGTTCAACGTAAGTCGACTCGCTAGGTGCAAGCAAGTACTTACTACTGATCGTCGATGAAGGCAGCGGATGCATGAAGGGTTTCAGTCTGCGCGCCAAGTCCGACAGCGAAGAGTGCATCAAGAAGTACATCATGGCAGTACAGACGCCGTTTGACTACAAGGTCAAGTTCGTTCGACACGATGGTGCACGAGAATTTGCGGCGAATTCGCTCAAGGCATTTTACGATGATCAAGGAATCGAGCAGCAAGTTACCGTTCCGTATGCGCATCAGACCAACGGCACGGCGGAACGGGCAATTCGGACCATTGTGACGATCGGGCGCAGCATGCTTCACTACGCCAAGCTGGACAAGTTTTTTTGAGTTGAAGCAGCAATGACGGCGATCTACATCAAGAATCGCCTACTATCGCCCAAGTGCCAAGATCAAACCCCGTTCGAGATTGTCAACGGATTTCGACCAAGTGTGAAGCACATGCGGGTTTTCGGCTGCCGAACGTTTGTGCTGACCCCTAAGGAAAAGAGATCGAAATGGGATCCGAAGGCTCGTGAAGGACTATTCATGGGGTACGAAGAAGTGTCAAAGGCTATTGAGGGTTACCGGTACAATCCGAACCTAGCGCGTAGTTCTTACGAGATAGTTTTTACATCGGTAATTACCTCAGAGATGATTAGACGCGTAGGATGATTGGACGCGTGTAAATCAGGTTGATTAGATGCACCATGTGATTGGATGCAGTCTAGGGTAGGCAGAAGTTAAGACCTATAAATCAATCACTTTCGAATCCTCCCTCAAGTGAGCAAGTGTGCTCTGCTTCGTTCTCTCCGGTCTCTCCGCTTCGTTTTCTCTTCGCCTCGCGCTCAAGAAACAACAGGTTATGAGCCCAAGCGCCATGTCGTCCAACAACACCTCGGCCAGTGTCTCCATCGATAAGTTCGATGGGGACAACTACTCAACCTGGTGTCGCTACATGCGCGGCGTGTTTCTGACGAAGTCAGTCTGGTACGTCGTGAACCGCGAAACGTCTCCAACCTTCACCGACACGCGAGCTTCCGACGAGTACGTCAAGGCGAGCAACATCGCGTTCGGGTTGATGTTGCTCCACATGGACGCCGACTACCACCATGTGGTCGACAACTGTGAAGAAGCATGGACAGCGTGGTCGCGGTTGAAGATGCTCTTTGGTGGGTCGCAGAAGGCGGGACGCATCTACCTCAAGCGCCAGCTGTTCAGCATCAAGATGGCGGAAGGTGCCAACGTCTTGCACCATTGCAACGAAGTCTTGAACATCGGCGCCAAGCTCAGCAGCATCGGTGCCAAGATGGAAGACGAAGACATTGCGATCTGCTTGCTGCTCAGCCTCCCGACGAGTTTCGAGAACGTGGTTCTGAACTTGGAGATGAGCAATGCAGAGCTGCGCACGCAAGATGTGGTCAAGGTGCTGACTAACGAGCACATCAAGCGACAAGGCGAGAAGATGACAACGGCAACGACAACGGTGAAGACTGAAGATGCGACAAAGGCATTCAGTACCGAGCGCAAGCCCTACCAATGCACATACTGCGGCAAGGTGGGGCACACGGCAGAGCGTTGCTGGACGAAGCAAAAGGATGAAAGTCGAGGAGCCCAACGCGGCGGCAATGGTCGTGGACGCGGGGCAAACAATGTCCAGTGGCGACATTATGATGAAGGTAATGGCTACGATCGAGTGGCGTTTGCAGTTTCGTTCGAATGCGGAGTTTCGACGAACAAGAATGGACCAGGAATGTGGGCCGTTGACAGCGGGGCAACACATCACATCTGCCACGACAAGTTCAAGTTTGCAAGCTTGGTCGAAGGCAATGATGGCGAGATCCTGGTGGCTGATGGCAACAAGGCGGTCATCAAAGGTGTGGGGACCATCGTGGAAAAGGTGATTCTGCCAAACGGGGAAGAGCGCGAGATCGAGATCAAGAACGCGCTCTATGTGCCCAGCATGAGCAAAAATCTGCTCTCGGTGCCGCAGATTAACAAGCACGGCAACTTCCAAGTGGTGTTTGACGGGGATACGATGTACGTCGCTCGCAAGGATTCCAATCAAGTGGTGGCAGCTGCGGATCTTGTAGACGGACTCTACTGGCTTCGCACGACGCAGCGATCGGCCAATGCGACATCACTCAGCAACGCTGTTGATCTACATGCGCGAATGGGCCATGCTCCAGTCGACGTGCTTCGCAGGATGGTGACAAGCCACATGATCAAGGACGCTCACATCCCTTCCAAGCCGAATGGATCAAGTGTGTGTCGAGGATGCCAAGAAGGGAAGATGGTCCAAAAACCATTCCCGAGCAACCGTGACAAGCGCACCTACAACACCTTCGAGATGCTCCACTTCGACATCTGCGGACCCATGGAAGAAAAATCTCTGGGTGGCAGCAAGTATCTGCTGCTGATCGTGGATGAAGCCAGCGGATGCATGAAGGGTTTTTGTCTGCATTCCAAGTCAGAGAGCGAAGAGTGCATCAAGAAGTACATCACGATGATACAGACGCAGTTCAACAAGAAGGTCAAATTTGTGCGACACGATGGAGCCCGCGAGTTTGCGACGAACTCGCTTCAAGATTTCTACGAAGTCGAAGGCATCGAGCAACAAACCACGGTGCCATACGCACATCAAGCCAATGGAACTGCTGAACGCGCGATTCGAACTATCGTCACCATCGGTCGTAGCATGCTCCATCATGCCAAGTTGGACAAGTGCTTCTGGGCTGAAGCGGCAATGACGGCCGTCTATGTGAAGAACCGTTTGCCGTCACCCAAGATTCCACACAAGACACCGTTCGAGATTGTCTACAATTCTAAGCCAAGTGTCAAGCACATGCGCGTTTTTGGGTGCCAAGCATACATCTTGACCCCGAAGGAGAAACGACTCAAGTGGGATCCCAAGGCCCGGGCTGGATTGTTTTTGGGCTACGAAGAAGTGTCCAAGGCGTATCGAGTTTACGACATCGAAGCGGGGCAGGTGATGATAAGTCGCGATGTCAACTTCGATGAGTCGGCCTTTGGAATGTCGATGCTGATTTCCGATGACGATGTTGATGGCCTGGACTTCGAATCGATCGATCTTGATGATGAAGAACCGCGTCCGAGACACTTCAAACAAACAGGAAAGCGCAAGGCCCAACCCAGTCACGACAATGACGACGCAAGCATGCCCCGAGCAGTGCGCCAACGACCCGGATTGGAAGAGTCAAGTGCGCCGGATGACCTCTCTTCACGTCGAGCCAACGAAGATGAAGAAAGGAAGTCGGAGGAACAACATGACACACCGACTTCCTCCGCGTTTTGGCATGCGAGTGCAAACGCCGTCGAAGCAGCAGTCGATTTTTCGGAGCCGTCGACATTTGAAGAAGCAGTGTCTGGCCCGGACCAAGTACACTGGCGCAAGGCAATTGATGCGGAGCTCGATTCGATGAAGCTTCGCGGTGTCTTTCGTGCGGCCAAGTTACCCAACAGACAAAGCGCCGTTGGCACAAAGTGGGTCTTCAAGATCAAGCGCAAGGCGGATGGGTCGATCGAGAAATACAAGGCACGACTTGTGGCCAAGGGTTTTCGCCAAAAGTATGGCATCGACTACACGGAGACGTTCTCGCCCGTGGTCAAGTATGTGACGCTGCGAATGGTCATCGCCATTACCAAGCACTTTGGATGGCCCCTCGACCAGCTCGATGTGGTGACTGCGTTCCTGTATGGAGTGATGAAGGAGAAGGTGTTCTGCGCTGTTCCGGAAGGCGTCAAGATAGAAGGTGATTTTGACTGTCTCGAGCTGATCAAGGTGATCTACGGTCTCAAGCAAGCCTCGCGTGTTTGGAACGAGACCTTCGACGAGTTCATACGCTCGATTGGTTTTCAAGCGTCGGGATTCGATCCATGTCTCTACATCATGACTTCGGAAGGCCATTGTGTTTTTGTGCTGGTCTACGTGGACGATGTCTTGGTGACTGGAAGCTCGCTCGAGATGATTGCGCGCACCAAGAACGACCTCAAGACACGCTTCGAGATGACGGACAGCGGCAAGTGTGCCTTTGTTCTTGGGATCGAGTTATTGGACGGTGAAGATGGCAGCGTGACTATGTGTCAGCGTCGTTATGTCGACGATGTCCTCAAGCGCTTTGGAATGGATGAGTGCAAGGCTTTGGCAAGTCCGGTGGACGTCAGCTCTCGACTGGTTCCGAGCAACTCTGCAAGCAAGGTATATGTCCCATTCCGTGAAGCAGTGGGTGCTTTGATGCATCTGACGACTGCAACGCGACCGGACATCGCCTATGCTGTAAGCTTTGTGTCACGGTTCATGGAGAAACCCCAAGAAGAACACTGGGTTGCAGTCAAGCGCATCTTCCGCTACCTACAAGGCACCAAGATGCATGGAATCTGCTACAAGCCAAGTGCGAAGATCGACTTTCGTGGCTATTCAGATGCAGACTGGGCCGGTGACCTTGCTGATCGCAAATCGACGTCCGGCTACGTCTTCATGCTATTGGGTGCTCCGGTGAGTTGGGGCAGCAAGAAACAGCCAAGTGTGTCACTGTCTACAAGCGAAGCGGAGTACATCGCGCTCAGCCTGGCGATCCAAGAAGGCAAGTGGATCAATCGCTTGCTGTGCGAGATCATGGCGGCTGCAAACGAAGAAGGACCCGAGCTCGTCATCCGTGAAGACAACCAGTCGTGCATCAAGATGACGAAGAATCCGGTCAACCACGGCCGCGCTAAACACATCGACATCAAGTACCATCACATCCGTGATGAAGTCAAGCGCGGCGAAGTGAAGCTTGAATACTGCGAGACGACGTTGATGTTGGCGGACATCATGACGAAGGGACTTCACGGACCGCGTCACAAGGACTTGACGGCGGCGCTTGGCATCCGTGCGTGTTCGGATTGAGGGGGCGTATTGAGGGTTACCGGTACAATCCGAACCTAGCGCGTAGTTCTTACGAGATAGTTTTTACATCGGTAATTACCTCAGAGATGATTAGACGCGTAGGATGATTGGACGCGTGTAAATCAGGTTGATTAGATGCACCATGTGATTGGATGCAGTCTAGGGTAGGCAGAAGTTAAGACCTATAAATCAATCACTTTCGAATCCTCCCTCAAGTGAGCAAGTGTTCTCTGCTTCGTTCTCTCCGGTCTCTCCGCTTCGTTTTCTCTTCGCCTCGCGCTCAAATTGCAACAAAGGCATATCGCGTTTACGACATTGAAGCGGACCAAGTGGTGATATCTCGCGATGTCACATTCGACGAATCAACGCTTGGTTTCTCGCCGAGGCTACCACAAGAAATTGTCGATGACACTGCGCTGGATATCGAATCGATGAGCATCAGCGATGAGCCTCACCCCATGCAGTTAAAGCGAACTGGAAAACGCAAAAGCCGTTCAAACAGTCAAGAACAAGTTCTACAACGGACACTTCTTGAGCGTCGTGGAACCGGGTTAGAAGAAGCAAGTGCCCCGGATGACTCTGAATCACACCAAGCGAAGCGACGATCAAGCGCTCGAGACAATCTGGACGAAGAGCAAAAGGGCAGTGACGAAGATAACGAGGATGCTACACCTCAAGTCTTTTGGCGAGCGAGTGCCAATGCAGTCGAAGGTACTGACCTGTCTGAGCCGACAACGTTTGAAGATGCTGTTGGTGGACCAGATCAAGTGCATTGGCGTAAGGCAATCTGTGCCGAGTTGGACTCGATGAAACTTCGTGGCGTGTTTCGAGCGACCAAACTGCCGTCTGGACAGCATACCATTGGCACCAAGTGGGTATTCAAGATCAAACGGAAAGCTGATGGATCCATCGAGAAATACAAGGCGCGCCTCGTGGCAAAAGGGTTCAAGCAGAAATATGGCATCGACTGTTGCATTGTAGATCGGAGCGAGGAAAGCGGAGCAAACGGAGCGGAGATACCGAAGAGAGTAGAGCAGAAAACACTTGCCCAATAGTTGGAAGATTCGAAAGTGATTGATTATCGGGGCTTACTACTTACTACATGATTTATATGTGGTGTACATATAAATCATGTGAAGCGTCTCATCATCCTACGCGTCTAATCAACTATGGTAATTACCGTAAGAACTACGTCGTAAATACTAAGCTGAACAGGCGGTTCGGATTGGATCGGTCACGGTTACCAATACTGGTAGAAAACCGATGACCGTCAACACGCCCCCTCAATCCGAATGCTCACGAATCCCGAGAGTCGCCGTCATCTCCTTGTGGCGTGGCCCGTGAAGTCCCTTCGTCATGATGTCCGCTAACATCACCGCAGTTTCACAGTACTTGAGCTTCACTTCACCGCGCTTGACCTCATCACGGATGTGATGGTACTTGATATCAATGTGCTTGGCACGGCCGTGGTTGACTGGGTTCTTCGTCATCTTGATACACGACTGATTGTCTTCACGGATGACGAGCTCGGGTCCTTCTTCGTTTGCAGCCGCCATGATCTCGCACAGCAGACGATGAATCCACTTGCCCTCTTGGATCGCCAAGCTGAGTGCGATGTATTCGGCTTCACTCGTGGACAACGAAACATTTGGCTGCTTCTTGCTGCCCCAACTGACTGGCGCTGTTGACGGTCATCGGTTTTCTACCAGTATTGGTAACCGTGACCGATCCAATCCGAACCGCCTGTTCAGCTTAGTATTTACGACGTAGTTCTTACGGTAATTACCATAGTTGATTAGACGCGTAGGATGATGAGACGCTTCACATGATTTATATGTGCACCACATATAAATCATGTAGTAAGTAGTAAGCCCCGATAATCAATCACTTTCGAATCTTCCAACTATTGGGCAAGTGTTTTCTGCTCTACTCTCTTCGGTATCTCCGCTCCGTTTGCTCCGCTTTCCTCGCTCCGATCTACAATGCAACAGGTTATGAGCCCAAGCGCCATGTCGTCCACCAGCAACGCCTCCATTGACAAGTTCAACGGAGACAATTACGCAACGTGGAGCCGGTACATGCGCGGTGTGTTTTTGATGAAGTCCGTCTGGCACGTTGTCAACCGTGAAGTGACTCCGACTTTCACCGACCCGCGAGCGTCCGATGACTACGTCAAGGCAAGCAACGTTACGTTTGGTATGATGCTGCTGCACATGAACGCGGACTACCATCATGTGCTGGACAACTGCGAGGAAGCCTGGGTTGCGTGGACAAGTCTGAAGACGCTGTACGGTGGGTCGCAGAAGGCAGGACGCATCTACCTCAAGCGACAACTTTTCAGTATCAAGATGGCTGAAGGCGCGAACGTCATGCATCACTGCAACGAGGTCCTCAACATCTCCGCCAAGCTTAGCGGCATCGGTGCGAAGATGGAAGACGAAGACGTTGCAATTTGTCTGCTACTCAGTCTTCCGAAGAGCTACGAAAATGTGGTGCTCAACATGGAAATGAGCAGCACCGAGCTTCGCACTCAAGATGTGGTGAGAGTCCTGACGAATGAGCATGCCAAGCGTCAAGGAGAAAAAGGGACAACGACAGCGACTACGGTGAAGGCTGAAGATGCAAGCAAGGCATTCAGCGCCGAGCGTGAGCCCTACCAATGCACGTATTGTGGCAAGGTGGGACACACGGTGGATCGTTGCTGGACAAAGCAGAAGAACGAAGGTCGGGGAGCCCGACGCGGCGGCAATGGTCGTGGACGCGGGGCTAACAATGTCCAGTGGGGACATCATGATGAAGGCAATGGCTACGATCGAGTGGCGTTTGCAGTCTCGTTCGAATGTGGAGTTTCGACGAGCAAGGACGTGTCTGGAATGTGGGCCGTCGACAGTGGTGCAACGCACCACATTTGCCACGACAAGACCAAGTTCGCAAGTTTGGCAGAGCGCAATGAGGGCGAACTCTTGGTGGCTGATGGCAACAAGGTGGCCATCAAGGGTGTGGGAACCATCATGGAAAAGGTGGTTCTGCCCAACGGTGAAGAGCGTGAGATCGAAATCAAGAACGCGCTATATGTTCCAAGTATGAGCAAGAACCTGCTCTCGGTGCCACAGATTAACAGCCATGGCAAGTTTCAAGTCGTTTTTGACGGGTCCAAGATGTATGTTACTCTCAAGAACTCACAGCAAGTGGTGGCGACAGCGGATCTCGTGGATGAACTCTACTGGCTTCGGACGACTCAACGATCAGCGAATGTGACAACAAGTGGAACCAGTTGTGCCGATCTACATGCGAGAATGGGTCATGCTCCAGTCGATGTACTTCGCAAGATGATCGCGACCAACATGATCAAGGATGTGCGAGTCCCTCTCAAGTCGGGTGGAGCAACTACATGTCGAGGATGTCAACAAGGGAAAATGGTCCAAAAACCATTTCCAAGCAACCGAGACAAGCGCAGCTACGATACGTTTGAGCTACTTCATCTGGACATCTGCGGGCCCATGGAAAAGGATTCGCTCGGTGGAAGCAAATATTTGCTGCTGATCATCGACGAAGCCAGTGGATGTATGAAGGGCTTTTGTCTACGAGTGAAGTCCGAGAGTGAAGACTACATCCGGAAATATATCACCATGGTACAGACGCAATTCTGTAAGAAGGTCAAGTTCGTGCGACACGACGGAGCTCGCGAGTTTGCAACCAACTCGCTTCAACTGTTCTACGAAGACGAAGGCATTGAACAGCAGACAACGGTGCCGTATGCACATCAAACAAACGGAACAGCAGAGCGTGCCATTAGGACTATTGTCACGATCGGCCGCAGCATGCTTCATCATGCCAAACTGGACAAGTGTTTCTGGGCCGAAGCAGCGATGACGGCCATCTACGTCAAGAATCGACTGCCGTCACCTAAAGTCGTGCACAAGACCCCGTTTGAGATCGTCTACAACTTGAAACCAAGCGTCAAGCACATGCGAACATTCGGGTGTCAGACATACATACTGACGCCTAAAGAGAATCGACTCAAGTGGGATCCAAAGGCTCGCGCTGGCATATTCGTGGGCTACGAAGAAGTTTCGAAGGCATATCGTGTTTATGACATCGAGGCGGGGCAGGTGGTTATCAGCCGCGATGTCAACTTCGACGAGTCCACCTTTGGACTTCAACTGCCGATCACTGATGAAGATGTCGATGACCTAGACTTCGAATTGCTGTATCTTGATGACGAAGAGCTGCGTCAAGTGGAGTACAAGCAAACAGGCAAGCGCAAGAACCGACTCAATGATGAAGATACAGCAGCTCCACGACCGCGTGCAGTGCGTCAACGACCAGGACTAGAAGAGTCAAGCGCGCCGGAAAACAACTCGTCACGACAAGAAGAAGACGAAGAAACGAAGGATTCTGGTGATTCAACACCGCCTGTGTTTTGGCGTGCGAGTGCAAATGCCGTTGAAGCAGCAGTGGACTTATCAGAACCCTCAACATTTGAAGCAGCAGTAAGCGGCCCTGACCAAGTGCACTGGAGAAAAGCAATTCATGCAGAGCTCGAGTCAATGCGACTTCGCGGTGTGTTTCGTGCAGCCAAGCTGCCCAACGGACAACGCGCCATTGGCACAAAATGGGTGTTCAAGATCAAGCGCAAGGCGGATGGGTCAATCGAGAAGTACAAGGCACGACTTGTGGCCAAGGGTTTCCGCCAAAAGTATGGCATCGACTACACGGAGACGTTTTCGCCTGTGGTCAAGTATGTGACGCTGCGAATGGTGATCGCAATTTCCAAGCATTTTGGATGGCCCATCGACCAGCTTGATGTGGTGACAGCTTTCCTGTATGGCGTCATGAAGGAACAAGTGTTCTGCGTGATTCCTGAAGGCGTCGAACTTGACAGTACGTTCGACTGCCTGGAATTGGTGAAGTCAATTTACGGCCTCAAGCAAGCGTCGCGAGTGTGGAACGAGACGTTCGACGAGTATGTGTGCTCCATCGGATTTCAAGTATCGGACTTCGACCCATGTCTCTACATCAAGACTTCGGACGGCCATTGCGTGTTTATACTGGTCTACGTGGACGACGTCTTGGTGACTGGAAGCTCGCTCGAGCTGATTGCACAAACCAAGAACGACCTGAAGACGCGGTTCGAAATGACGGACAGCGGCAAGTGTGCGTTTGTTCTTGGGATCGAGCTTTTGGACGGTGAAGATGGCAGTGTGACACTATGTCAGCGTCGGTATGTCGATGATATCCTCAAGCGCTTTGGCATGGATGATTGCAAGGCAGTCGCAAGTCCAGTCGACATGAGCTCTCGACTTGTTTCAAGTGATGCAACTACCAAGGTCGATGCTCCTTTTCGCGAAGCTGTTGGTGCGTTGATGCACCTGACCACTGCAACGCGTCCGGACATTGCGTTTGCTGTGGGCTATGTGTCACGGTTCATGGAAAATCCCCAAGAAGAACACTGGGTTGCAGTTAAGCGTATCTTTCGCTACCTACAAGGCACCAAGACGCATGGAATTTGCTACAAGCCAAGTGCAAGGATCGACTTCCGTGGATATTCGGATGCGGATTGGGCTGGTGATCTTACCGACCGCAAGTCAACATCGGGGTACACGTTCATGCTACTCGGTGCGCCAGTCAGTTGGGGCAGCAAGAAGCAGCCAAGTGTTTCGTTGTCCACGAGTGAAGCCGAATACATCGCACTCAGCTTGGCGATTCAAGAGGGCAAGTGGATTCATCGTCTGCTTTGTGAGATCGTGATGGCTGCCAATGAAGAAGGACCGGAACTCATGATCCATGAAGACAATCAGTCGTGTATCAAGATGACGAAGAACCCAGTCAACCACGGCCGTGCCAAGCACATTGATATCAAGTACCATCACATCCGTGATGAGGTCAAGCGCGGTGAAGTGAAGCTCAAGTACTGTGAAACTGCGGTGATGTTAGCGGACATCATGACGAAGGGACTTCACGGGCCACGCCACAAGGAGATGACGGCGACTCTCGGGATTCGTGAGCATTCGGATTGAGGGGGCGTGTTGACGGTCATCGGTTTCAACCAGTATTGGTAACCGTGACCGATCCAATCCGAACCGCCTGTTCAGCTTAGTATTTACGACGTAGTTCTTACGGTAATTACCATAGTTGATTAGACGCGTAGGATGATGAGACGCTTCACATGATTTATATGTACACCACATATAAATCATGTAGTAAGTAGTAAGCCCCGATAATCAATCACTTTCGAATCTTCCAACTATTGGGCAAGTGTTTTCTGCTCTACTCTCTTCGGTCTCTCCGCTCCGTTCGCTCCGCTTTCCTCGCTCCGATCTACAATGCAACAGGCGCACCGAGTAGCATGAACGTGTACCCCGATGTTGACTTGCGGTCGGTAAGATCACCAGCCCAATCCGCATCCGAATATCCACGGAAGTCGATCCTTGCACTTGGCTTGTAGCAAATTCCATGCGTCTTGGTGCCTTGTAGGTAGCGAAAGATACGCTTAACTGCAACCCAGTGTTCTTCTTGGGGATTTTCCATGAACCGCGACACATAGCCCACAGCA